TATATATATATATATATATATATATATATATATATAGTTAATGTTTTACTGTTGGTTTTGTTTTTATTTTTGTACAACACTTCGGTCGGCTGCTATGTTGCATTTTAAATGCTTTAGAAATAAAGTAGTATGGTATGTAGTTAGTATTCTGATTTTTGCTAAAAAATCCTAAAAATGGATACTTGGAGGGAATTTCTGATTTTATTAATGTTCATACATGGTCTTGACCTACGTAAATTTAATTGTCAAGTAAAGTTTTTATCTTTTTATTGACTTGAGCTGTAAAGAGCTACATCAGACTTGCCGTATATTTAACTACTGTGCCTGTGTTTGTTACTGACTCTTACAGCTGGTACGACTCGGGAGCACCTGGGCCTCGCCATGGCTTTGAAGGTGCCCATCTTCATTGTTATCAGTAAAGTGGACCTCTGTACGCGAGCCACTGTGGAGCGCACGGTGCGGCAGTTGGAGCGTGTCCTGAAACAGCCAGGTTGCAACAAAGCGCCCATGGTTATTAGCAGTACAGACGATGCCGTCACAGCAGCTCAACAGTTCGCACAGTCGCCTAAGTACGACCCAAATGTAGTACTTTATTATCAGAATGCATTGATGTTTTTCCTCTATATATGTGTACTACAATGTGTGCGTTTATCGGAGTTGTAATACCTATCATGTTCTTGTCCTCTTCTTTTATTTTTGTAGTATCACACCCATCTTCACCTTTTCCAGTGTGACTGGTGAGAGTTTAGATTTACTCAAGGTCTTCTTCAACATCATCCCTCCTCTCAGCAACAGCAAGGAGCAGGAGGAGCTCATGCAGCAGCTAACAGAGTTTCAGGTGAGTCGAGCATGAAGCTTGTTGAAGTGCACGATGAGCCAGCTGTGATCCACACTCCTCTTGCTGGTGCAGAATAAATGCACTAATGAGTGCTCATGTGCATCACTGCAGGTAGATGAGATCTACACTGTTCCAGAGGTGGGAACAGTGGTGGGGGGCACTCTGTACAGGTCAGTTTGGTGAAAAGTGTTTTCTTTATTCAAGATTTGTGTTTTCTACACATGCTGTCTTTCTGACTGTTTATTGTTGGGGTTGTGCAGTGGGATTTGCCGTGAAGGGGATCATCTTGTTGTAGGGCCCACAGAATTAGGCCAGTTCCACAAGTTGACCATCGGCAGCATCCAAAGGAATCGCTCGGCATGCAGGGTGCTCAGGGCCGGTCAGGCAGCTACACTTGCACTAGGCAACTTTGACCGATCACTGTTACGTAAGGTAAGACTTGTGATATATATATATATATATATATATATAATGTATAGTATTACTGTGTTAAGCACAGCATAGCATGACATGTTTGAATACCACCTGTGTCCTTTGCACTTACAGGGCATGGTGATGGTGAGTCCAGAGATGGATCCCACCATCTGCTGGATGTTTGAAGCAGAGATTGTGCTACTCTTCCATGCCAAGACCTTTCACAAGGGCTTCCAGGTGACTGTGCACATAGGAAACGTGAGACAGACCGCAACTGTGGAAGCCGTTTATGGCAAGGTTAGTTTGTTCATCGAGTTAAGTTTAAAAAAAGATTTCACTGCTTTTTGATTATAGTAAATATAACTGCAATGTTATTGTTTGATTTGATTCATTTTTTTTACAGGATTATTCACTTAATTTTGAATTCTCATTTAATAATTTTAACTCGCATTAAAAAATAAAAGTGTAGTTGCCATTTCTAACTGTACGTCTTATTTGGTGTACCTTTTATTTTGTGTTTGCCACAAACTGAGTGAACTTTGAATTTAAGGATGTTTGAAAGCAAATCGTTATTTATATCAAAACTAAACAATATAAAAGAAGAGTTTCAGAAAGCAGCGAGTTATTTTGTTTTATTTTTAGAACCAGTCCATAATTTGAATTAATTATTGCAGTGTTTATAGAAAGTTGTGAAATAGTGCGAAGTTTCTGTTGTCTTTTTTTTTTATAGTAAATATTTTAGTGAGCCACATAGTTTAGATAAAATTAATGAATTTATACCAGAAATCTACAGTTTAACTTTTATTACTTGGCTTAATTTAGCACATTCCCTTGATTAACAATAGTTGTATTTTTTATCTGTATTGCTGCACCATAGGAGGAGCTGAGGACCGGCGAGAAAGCCGTGGTTCTATTCAAGTTCCTCAAACATCCAGAATATCTGAAGGTGGGGGCTAAGCTGCTCTTCAGGGAGGGGCTGACCAAAGGTATAGGTCATGTCACCAAGTTGCAGCCAATCACCCAGTACCAACCATCCCACGGGGAGGACTAGGATGTCTAGTTTCCTTTCTAGACAAATACAGCAGAAAACGTTGTCCTTCCCCCAAAACCAGGTGCTTTATAAACCACATCCTGCTTTGATTAAACAGCCACTCTGACCCGTTTCTGCACAGTAATGAATCTCTGCTGCAGAACTGTTTTGTCGACTTGTTCTCAAAGCCTCATCACCATCAGTTTTGTTTATCATGCCTTTTAAATACCTGATGACAATTATACCTACGTCCTCGTGATGTGAAGTGCGATGCCTCTCATGGCTTGATAGAATGAATCCTCTCGACCACGTGTAGAACGAAGCGCCACCGAAATATTTATTTGAAGAATTTAAAAGAGAATAAATGAGGAAAATGTTCCTATCTATGTTGAAGTGCTGCTTACTAAGTTTACACCTTAATGCACTCCCAACACTTAGTGAGAGGTGTATGCCAGTTTAGATATTCCTGTGGCAAATAACTGTCTGACATCAAAGTATAATCAGTACCGGAGTGATACGAGAGCAGTGGCACCACGTTTTACCAGCATAAAGCCTGAAAACCCTCTAATGTTGTCTGAATACTCTTAGGGGCTTTTATACACCAAGCCAAAATCTAAGGCAAGCGTGATTGATGCTTCACGTTCTTCTGTAGTGACGCTGCCACAAAACACACTACAAACAGGAAACGAGGTGTGGAGCATGTATTTAAATCTTGCACATTGGATGCTAAATGTGAACACAAGAAGATGCCCTCAAGTCATAGGTTAGATTAGAGATCATCGTTTGTTTGTTTTTTAGATTGTATTCATTGTTGTCCACAGGAAAGCACAGGAGTGGTATTTATGGATTTTTTTTATATTTTATACTGGAACCATTTTCAAAAACATCCCATCCTGGTGTTCATAAAGGGCTGTTTACGTGTAACCACAAAGTTGATCGGACTAAAACCTCTTGTGGATTCAGAAACCCTTTTCCTGTGTGGACGACCACTCATATAAAACATATTTTGGGCAGTTTTCTATATTTATGATGCATGCATTGGCAAATTAAATGAACTAATGCTGCCACATTAACATACTGAGTATATAAGGCTAAACAGCCTATTGGATTTGAATAGTAGTAGTGGAAAACACCATCTGATAAGTCTGCTACACACAGAAAAGACAAGTACAGTAAATGTTCACAAGATGATTCACATTCTTGACTATTGTTGGCTTGGTGTACGAGGCATCTTAAACTATTCTCAGACGGCTGGTGGCTTACTCAAGATTAAATTCATGACATACCTGTGGCTGTCAGACTGTTAGTCACTCAGAAGCCAAATCGTTTTGCCTAGACTGTGCTGCTGATGATACCAGGCACTTTAAGAATGTAAACGTGCAAACTTGAGGTATGAGGTAAACAAACTTGACTTATAATGGCAACCACTGTTTATCCGTCACATCTGCTAGAACTAGTTTTGATCCACACATAATGTCTCACAGTAGCTCGGCGAGATTGGAATAGTCTCGCTGGGTCATTTAAGTGCTTTAGTTACTCAGGGCAGTGTAGATGATGTTAGGCAGCATTCCACTTTTCATAGAACGGGTTGCTGATACGGAGTAGAGACGTTAGAGGGAAACTAGTTTTGTTTCTTCCAAAGATGTTTGATTGTATATTTGTGTGTTCCAGCTCTGCTTAAAAGGCAATATTAGAGGTACTTGATGTCTCTCAAGTTACTGATGTCACAAGTTTTAAGAGTGCCTAGTGAAGCTGCCTTTTGAGTAGTTTTCTTGTTTAGCCCTAAAGAAAAAGGATTTAGTTTGGTGCTACTGTTAAAAACACGTTTTGATGTTTGACGTTCTTCAGAATGTTTCTTGGCCTCACCGTCTGTCCTGGTGTTGCATCTCAGACCTGATGTCCATCTATTCTATAACGCCCATGTTAAAAAGAAAAAAGTAAATTTATAATGAACCGCTTTAAAGGGACACAGGCGTTTGCTTTTAATGTACCAAAGTTGTATTTTATAGATTTGTTATATCTTCAGATTTTAGTCGATTTATAGTTGCATTCTTCAACTTTTGACACGTTTTCATTTGTTTCAGATTATGTTTAAAGGTCTGACTTCCTGTTGAATTCAAAGTATATTTGATAAGTGTTTGGGTGAAATGCAATAATTATGTACAGATCTAAGTTGTGTGTTGTGAGAAAATAAATGAAACTTTTGCAACCCGATTCTGAAATTTTTATTTTTAAAATCAAACCTTTAACGTCTTAGTGTTTTCAGGGAGGTCATGGGTGCGGTGCTAGGTCTCGTGTCACATGGTGGAGTTTTGAAGCAAATTGATTTTATCAATACTTCCTGTTATCCTGATGCATGCTCAACTTCCTGTACTTCTTCCTGTTATGCTCATCTGATACAAGAGAGAGCAACCTTTTTTTTCATGTTCTTCAGGGCTCAAGTGCAAGAGTACAATAATTTTATAACTAGATGAACAGGTCAAGCCTGACTGTCTGCTTCTTCTAGATCTATTTATTTTTAAAAATATTTAAAAAGCTCGTAATTTATAATGTCTCAAAACTTTACGACAAATAAGAACCCTGGCTCTGCTCCATCAGCACACAGCTGTCAGCCTTTTAGTCACAATACTACAAGTTACTACCAGTAGTTTTAATGTGTGCCAGTTTATAAAATACTAATTTAAAATAGTTTATTAATTAAAAATAGATCAGCTCTTTAATGATTTTTTTTTTTTTTATAAAGCACAATAAAATGGTGAGTTACAAAAGGTGGTATGTCCTGCAGGAGTGGCTTCCTTCAAAATGAAGCAAATATAAAATACAAAGGTTCATGCTCAATAATCCAGGTACAAATCCAACAATGTTCAGTCAGGTCATCTGGATGTTTTATTTTTTTTTTTGGCCGAGATGTTTCATCCTTCATCCAAAGGATTTCTTTAGTCCGAGGAGCCACAAACAAACTGGAGTCCCACAAGCACCATACTCTCATAATAGGGAAAAAAAACATCATCCAATAATGCTCAGTCAGGTCATCTGGACAGTTTCTTTTTTATAGAGACGTTTCACCCTCTATCCAGAGGGCTTCATCAGTCTGAGGAGTTCCAAGTAAACAGTTTCCCCCACCAAGCAGTAAATCCTTAAATGGACCAACCAGTTGGCTGGAGATGAGATGGTTTCTGGGGGCCGTCCTGTCAACTCCCAGGCAGGCAGCCACAAAGTGATTCAAGGCAACAAAGTTCATGCTCAATCATCCAGGTACCAAATCCAATAATGCTCAGTCAGGTCATCTGGACAGTTGTTTTGTGTTTTGATGAAGCCCTCTGGATAGAGGGCGAAACATCTCTATAAAAAAAGAAACTGTCTAGATGACCTGACTGAGAATTATTGGATTTGGTACCTGGATGATTGAGAATGAACTATCTTATCACCAGCAAACTGTTTTTTTTTCTCACTATGGGAGTGTGGTGCTTATGGGACTCCAGTTTGTTTGTGGCTCCTTGGACTGAAGAAGTCCTTTGGATGAAGGACGAAACATCTCAGCAAAAAAAAAGAAGAAACCGTCCAGATTATCTGACTGAACATTGTTGGATAATATAAAATATATCATTTTTACTGACAGGGCAGCACGGTGGTGCAACTGGTAGAGCTGCTGCCTCTCAGCGAGCAGGTCCCTGGTTCAAATCCCGGTCTGAGGGCCTTTCTGGGTGGTGTTTCCGGTTTCCTCCCACAGACCAAAAACATGCATGTTAGACTGATTGGTAACTCTAAATTGTCCCTAGGTGTGAGTGAGAGAGTGAATGGTTGTTTGTCTCGTTTGTCTCTATGTGTCCATGATGGACTGGAGACCTGTCCAGGGTGTCCCCCGCCTCTCTCACAGTCATAGCTGGACATGGGCACCAGTGACCCCTGCAACCCAAAAAGGAAGAAGCGGGTAAAGATAATGGATGGATGGATGGATGAAGAATGGCTTGTTTGCACATTGCCCAGGACATCCTTGTAAGAGATTAATAATCTCAATGGATTTCTTTCCTGGTAAAATACAGGTTTAAATAAACAAAACATAAGAAATGACACTTGCTTTAATGTCTGTGTGCATAATCAAACAATATTTTTCTTGTAAAAACATAAATTTAGTTGGGCTCAAAATTTTTCATTCTTTTTGAAAAAACAATCCAGAGTTCCCACACTTCCACCCTGGGAGCGCCGTCTTTTTGCGGCAGGACCGGACTGGCCTTTGGTTTTTGTTTTGGCCCTGGACGACTGGGCTGCGCCTCCTCCTAACCTGAGAGGAGATGGAGCAGCACTGGACGAAGAAGAAGCAGTTGATAAATTTGTAGATGAGAGGGATTTCTGGAGGTCCAGGGCAAAGTGATAGTCACTGTGTTCAGGCATTTTCCAGACGAGGACCTCCAGACCGCAGCGCTCACAGCTTACAAAATCATCACTCTGAGGATGGGACTTTACTCCTGATTCGACCTCCGGTTCCTCTTTTATCTCTTCAGATGGTGCTTGAGGTGAAACCTCAGAGCTTGGTCTTGACTGTAGGGCTGACACGACGACAGAGTCGTCATGGTCACCTGCATGTAGGATTCCAGGTTCCTGTCCTGGTTCGGGTGTGCTCGTTGAGGTCGAGACCTTTGAGCTTCTTTCAATGATCTTCTGAAAAAAGGAGATTCCAGAGCGGAAGCTGGATGAGCCCTTTTTAGTGTGAGACGAACTTTTAAAGGGATATTCTGGTGGGTTTGTTTCTGCCTTCAGCGGACTCTCAGAGGCAGCTTCATCAGGAATTATTGGAGAGAGAACTTCGGCGGATGCACCATCATCTTCCTCCTCAACACTGTTTTTAGCTTGTTTTTGTTTCAAAGCAGCTTTTTGGAATAAAGACTGAATGGTCCCCAGCTGACTGCATGCAGACCCAGTTTTGGAGTCAGACGGTGGCTGAGTGGAGGAGAAAAGGCTCTGAGTCGAAGTGACACCACCGGACAGAAAGCCAGCGATCCCTCCAGCAGATGGAGCATCACTGAATTTGCTGGCTGAGAGGTGTAGCAGGGTGAGAGGTGGAGTCCTGGAATATGTAGGACAGAGGAGAGAAATCACACGGCGTCCCTTCCTCTTTAAATATCTCACTGCATTAATGCTCTGTAATTACCATGCGGCCTGGTGGTTTCCTGCTGTGTTGAGGCTCTTGATAATAGCCAAGCTGTCGCTGGATAATTTGGTCGCCTCGTAGCGCACTAACGCACAACATCGAGAGAAGCTGCTCGGCCTCTTATCACCAAGCTGACGCACGCCGACTGTCAGCAGCTTTGCCACCCGACCATTCTGCAGGAGAGCAAAGACACGCAGACGAGAAACAAGAAGCGCGAAGTAGAACATTCGTGAAAAACCCAAATGTGGAGAAGAAAACTGCTTCAGTAATAAAAAGACAAATTTCACCCACTGCTTCTCTGTCTTTGGTCAGCCTCTCCTCCAACTCAAGAGCCAGCTGATGAAGCCAGTACTGCACCTACCGACAGGTTAATGGCACACACACAAAAACATATACATACATACATACATAACACGCAGACGAGAAACAAGAAGCGTTAGAATAGTGTTCGCTGCGCACGTAGA